GTATCGCCGCCTGCGAGGAGCTGACGGCGGAGCTGGCCGCCCTGCGCGCCGCCCCGGTTACCGGCCGGCGGGAAGCGGGCCCGCTCCCCGGCTCCCCGGAGCGCCCGGCGGCAGCTCCGCGCCCGGCTGCGGAGGGGGGGAGCGACGCGGGGCCCTGAGGGGCCGGCCCTGCCCCGAGCGGCAATGCGGAGGGAGCGGGGGGGCCCCGGCAGAGCCCGGACTGAGGAGCCAGTGACCGGTCACCGGCTCCCGCCGCCCGGGCTTTGCCCCCTCCCGCTGCCCCGACCCCGCGTCTCACTCCTTGTGCACTTTAAAATAAAGCGGTGTTGGCTCAGCCCCTGTCCCGGCCCCTCTGCGCACCGGGGGGGCTGCGGCCGCTGAGGGAGCGCGGCCTCCCAAGGGCTCGAACCGGCGAGGTCCCTTCCCGGGGCTGTTCCCGGGGCCGTTCCCGGGGCTGGGCGGCCGCTGCGCCTCGGGCTGCGGGGACCGATCACTGGTGAGCACGGCGCTCCCCCCTGCGGGAGCTGAGGGTGCAAAGGGGCCTCTCTGGAAGGGGAGATGCGCTTCTGCTGCTGGGGGAGGCTTTTCTCCACCTGGAATTGCTGAAATCTTGATTTATTCACAGAATCCCAGAATCTTCTAGGTTGGAAGGGACCTTAAAGATCATCTTGTCCAACCGGCAACCTAACTGACAAAAATAGACACCCACACAACAAACAAGGAGCATCATCACTAAACCAGACCTCCCAGCACTACATCAACCCCTCTTTTGAACACCTCCAGGGATGGGGCCTCCACCACCTCCCTGGGCAGCCCATTCCAAGGGCTGAGAACCCTTTCAGGGAAAAAAATTTTCCTAATATCCAGCCTGAACCTCCCCTGGCGCAACTTGAGGCCATTTCCTCTCGTCCTGTCGCCTGGGACTTGAGAAAAGCAGCCGACCCCCCCCTCTCTACACCCTCCCTTCAGGGCGAGAGCAATAAGGTCTCCCCTCAGCCTCCTCTTCTCCAGGCTGAATAACCCCAGTTCCCTCCACCTCTCCTCATAAGACTTATTCTCCAGACCCCTCACCAGCTTTGTCGCCCTTCTCTGGACCCGCTCCAGCACCTCAATGTCTTTTTTATGGTAGGGGGCCCAAAACTGGACACAGTATTGGGAGCAGAGATTCAGTGTGTTTCCCTTAGAGCCAACAGCTTTCCCCAAAGTCCCCATCCTCTTCCTCAGAAAGTACCTCCCATCCCCGCTTTGAAGGTTTTTAGGCACTAAAACGACCAACTTTACAAGAGATTGTACCTTTCTGCAGCTTCACCCGGGTCCTGGCTGCAGGAGAGGGACCAGCACCTCCCCTGTGCACAAGTGTGCAAGATTCACACCCTTCGCTCTGGTGCACACCCTGGTGAAGTTCCTTCACTCACGGGGGGGTTGGTGGGAGGGAGGTGTGTGCCCAGGCAAAGGCTGCTGCTGGAAACACCTTCCTTGGAAGGACACTCGTCTCCCAAGTAATTTAGAAATGCTCTCAGGAAAGACTATTGTAACACAATGTTTAAATAAGCATTTAATTAGGATTCCATTAGTATTAATATTGCTTTCAATTCCAAAAAAGTTAATTTCCACTTCTTCGCAGATATTTCAAAGTACAATATTAACTTCATACAAAATGAGCAATTAAGCAAACACCATTATTTCACATTTTACATTCTTCAAAAAATACAAATTCATATTTACTCTTTTTTTTTTTTTCTTTTTTTTTTTCTTTTTTTTGGGTTTTGGAGATGCTCTTCCTTTGGAAGTACTGTACCTGTAACTAACATCTTCACATTGCTCAATGTAAGCACATTTGTTCCCAAGTTTCAGAGTTAAATAAATTCCTTGAACACCATACACACATTCTTGAAAAAAAAAATGGGTGGTTTTTGTTTTTTTTTTTTATTTTAATTTCATCATCTCCAAGACCAGAGCCCAGCTCCCCGGGGAAGGAAAGCCATGATGAGGGGGAGCTGGGGCTCCACCTCGGGCAGACCTGGGTGAGGAGGACACCCCGGGTCGGGTTTGGGGGGCAAAGTCCCCCTGGGGGGCCCGCTGTGACACGGGCTGCAACTACAACTCTCCAGAACAAGGGTGGGACAAGACAGCTCCGGGTCAGCGAGCGAGTGGGAGGACACAAAGCTACACAGCAAGAAAGAACCAGCTACTGCCACCACTACGGTACTGCAAAAAACAGACCCTTGGTTTTGCTGAAAAAAGATCATATGAAAAAAATTCCTCGTAAGAAAAAAGTAGAAACTGCATTTTATTTGAGAAAGTGTACACTGCATAATTGAACCAAATTTTGGCCAGCTTGCACACCACCAAAAAGCATGGTGTGGGATTTTAAACTAGTTCCAAGAACACACACACTCAGACTACGTACGCTACTACATAAATATCCAGTTTAATTTTGCATTTCTCAGTGCAGACACAGAATCCCACTTCTAGAACATATGATCTATATCAAGACGAGACGCAAAAAAGTTAAAAGTTCAGCCCTGTCCATGAGTATCAACTTACAGGTAACATTTATAAAAACTTGACATTGTTTCCAAAATATGTTACGGGGAAAAAAAAAATAGTGTACCAATTCAAAATCAGAGATTTGGAGGGTTTATTAAAGAGATGCTTTTTTTTTTTTTTTTTTGTTATTTTTGCCTTACAATCCGAATCGACTCTACTGGTTCTGCCCAGCAGCTCAGATGGCTCATGCCAGAGATTTGGAGGGTTTATTAAAGAGATGCTTTTTTTTTTTTTGTTATTTTTGCCTTAAAATCCGAATCGACTCTACCGGTTCTGCCCAGCAGCTCAGATGGCTCATGCCAAGGATTTGTCACCTGCAGATCCCAAAGGTTTTGACAAAGACAAGCTCCACTGTGGCAGGAGGGAGGGGAGGCAGGGCTGGGGGGGGGCAGGGGGACTCACCCCAGGTGAGTGGCAGGATGGGGACTATGACTCCCTGATGATCCTGCCACCAGCCACGCTCCTCCTGGATCAGGGACAGCTTCTATCATAGAAACATAAAATTGCCCCGGCTGGAAGGGACCTCCAAAGGTCATCTAGTCCCACCCCCCCGCAGTCAGCAGGGACACCCCCAACTAGACCAGGTTGCCCAGGGCCTCGTCGAGCCTCTCCTTGAATATCTCCAGGGAAGGGGCCTCAACCACCTCCCTGGGCAACCTGTTCCAGTGCTCCACCACCCTCACAGTGAAGAACCCTCTCCTCATCTCCAGTCTAAATCTGTTCCCCTCCAGCTTGAGGGGAGGGGCAGCTTCTATTCTCCAGCCAACTCCGAGGGCAATTCCACCTCTCCTGGGCAGTCCCCCAGCTCCAAGCCCCATCTGTGGTGGGTGGGGGGAGAGCACTGCAAAGAGCTCCAGAGCGGCGCTGCGGTTGCACAAACAATAAAATGTGGGATGGCGGGGGAAGCACCACCCTCCCTGCAGTAAGGCAGGTAACGTGACATCAAACACAACTGCCAAGACAAACGATAAAAGGTGCAACGTGCCCCTTTCAGCCCAGCTCCTCACCTCTGCCCGCCTGGCAGAGCGGGGCGAGGGACAAGGGAGAAGGGAACCCCCCCCAAACCCACCGCCGTGTCCCCCGGGAGCGACCAGAGGCCCCACCAGAAAGCGTGAGAGAAAAGGCCCGCCAAAGCACAGTGCTCTCAGTGCAGTATTTGCATAGATTGGACGTTTGCTAATGATGCATAATTTCTTCTTGGGTAGAGAGGGGAAGGGGCAGGTGTCGCTGAGCTAGTTCCTACGGGTTCAGTTAGACAGACAGACAGACCCACCACGCGGGACGACAATCTTTTAGCTACAAGTATTGCACCAAGTTAAGTGCTCATCTTTGCACACCCCTGTTAACTTTTACTCAGAGCAAAAATAAACTTTGTGAAAAGTATATACAAAAGAAATTGCAGCAATCGGGTTAAAGATAAAATAACCTAAAGTGCATTTTTAGATAGCAGTATGAGGTTCTGCGAACTAGTCTCTCTGGACACAGTCAGCATTACACAAGTGCCCAAATTCGTACTTTGTTCTATATAATTCAGTACCAGCATTTAAACAGTGCTGATTCTCCATCCCTCCAGCACCTACAAGCACGAAAAGCAACTTCTCCAGCCTTCAGCCTCCTCCAAATCTGCTCGCTGGGGCCACCGCTCAGCGACCAGAGCTACCCACCTTGGTAATCAGACCCATTCTATACGTTTAAGCTTCTGCACCCATCTAGAAACTGTGAGGAACCAAGTAAACCCCACAAGCCACAAAACCTTTAACACAGAATGACCCGGAGCGGTGCGGGTTTGTTCTCTCAACGATAATTAAAGTGGTTGGTGAAATGCAGATTTTGCAGAGGGAGGGCACACTGTTCTCAGAGGCTCCAGAGTATTCACAGAAAACACACCCCTTTCTGGGAATCCAATGTCTCACCAAATCTACAACAGTAGAAAGTCCTCCCTTTATTGAAAATGTTATTGTGGAGGAGGTGAACGCTGGGGCAGCAGCAGGAGGAGGACAGAAAATCCTCTGGCACCGAGGAATCTCAGGGCCTCGCTGCCGCTGCCCTCTCCTGCCTGCGGGTCCCCTCCTGTCCCAGCGTGTCACCAAACTCCCAAAGGACCACATCTGACCACACAGCACTGGGATGATGCAAAACCTTCTCAGACACGTGTGGCACGGAGCTCTCTGACAGCAGACCAACACTAAACAACAAAAGCACACACCGGGACAACGCAATGGGGCGGGAGGCACAGCCCATGGCGCAGGTGGTCACAGAGTCACACCGCTCTGGCCTCGTGACAAACCCCAATTAACTTCCACCTAAATGGCAGCCTACCTGATGCACACACAAGAGGGTAACAGCAAACTCAATGCACCTAAAAGGTCAGCATAAACGTGGAACATGGTGCTTTTCCCAGAAAGCAGGGGCAGAAGACAGTGGCTGTGCAGAGAAAGCAGCAGAAGTTCAACTCCGACACCTCAGCGCTGCCAACCACCACGCTCCCAAAGCAGCTTCCCATCCCAAAGCCTTTGGAGAGTCTTCTACTCATTTCTGTCACAAAGGAGATCCCAACCAGAAGTCTGTTTTAGGTGGACTAAGTCACAAGTAGCAAGAGCAGCGTGGAAAAACACTTCCCTGAAGGATGGAAAGGCTCAGAAGAGGTTGCTCCAGCCCCCAGCTGTCCCATCCCAGGCCCCATCTGGTACCCTTGTCTCCACCAGAAAGAACCCCTAACTCCAGAGGAATTAGCTGTCTCACACACACATGTACATCCATCCACTCACCCTCCAACACACACAGAGATGTCCCAGCCCCTGGGCTGTCCCAGCCTGTGCCCCGGGACCCCTGGCAGCGGAGCTGTGGGCAGGAGAGCTGGCAGGGGACAGCCCTGGGAGCACGGTCCCAGCCACACGGGCCTGAGAGTCTCCTGTGTGCTCTTGCTGCTGTGCAACCACCCTGCAGCACCAGGGGAAGCTGCAGGAGAAATGCAGAGGCCACTGTGCCCCTCGAGGGGTTCCCGCTACAAAAGCGAAACAGAAAACGCTTTGTTAATCCCTGCGCTCGCTGCCCTCGAGGGGTTCCCGCTACAAAAGCGAAACAGAAAACGCTTTGTTAATCCCTGGTTTTCGGGGACGCAAAACTTATCGGCGCAGGACCCGCACCCCCGCTGCCACGGCACCACACAGCAACACACACAGAGAGGAAACACAATCAGCGTGTTCCCCATCCAGCTCGTGTCCCCAAGCTCACCCCAGCAACTCCCCAAACAGAGCGAGATGGCACCTGCCAGGGACAAGGTGTTCTTTGCAGCCTCCTTCCTTCACAGTCACCCCAAGGGGACACAGTTCTCCCTCCTGCACGTAACGACTGGGAGCGAGCTGCCAGAGAGGGGAAGTGCCAGTTCCCTTCAGCCTGCTTCCATCAGAGGATTCCCAAAGGAATCACAGGCCAGATCCCTCACCCACCACCGTCCCGGTGACAGCGGTGGTGGCAGGGCTACACTGAGGGCTAAAAACCTGCTAATCATCCCAGAGGGGGGGCTGCACTCCTATGGTTCTCCCCAGCAGGTACAGAGAGCAGCTTTGATCAAAGATCTCTAGCCACTAGGAGCTTTGCATTCCTAAATTTAGTGCGCAGAGACACTCCGCATTAATTGGCTTACAGTCATTATCTTTGTATCTCACTAATGACAACACTGTAAACTGAATAAAGACTATTTAATATTCTTTCCTTTAACACAAAAAGACTGACAGCCAAAGCCAGAAAGATGGATAAAACACTATAAAATTACATTTTTTTTTTTAAAATAATGCAGCATAAATAAACCATTTAGAATGAGACTGCATTTATTGCAACATTACAGGCTTTTTGGTGGAAGGGGGGTTTGTGTTTTATTTTACCCTGAGTAGGTTAGAATATAGACTTTCAGTTTGATATGAAAAACTACTATGCTGTGTAACATCTTTTAGTCAAGAAATAGCCCCGTGCACAAAAAGCTGGCATTGCAGTAGGTTGGAGGCAGATTTCAGGCAGAAATTATATAGCTGAACAGAAAAAAAAGGAAGCATTTAGGGACAGCCAAAAGGACAGACTCACTGAATTCAAACGGAACTTATGTTCAACCATTCTGAGAATTCTCCTAGAGCTCTTCTTGACAAAAGATGAGAGTAACCTGCAAAGGCACCGTGCTCCTGATTTGAACAGTCACGGGGTAAGAGGATGATTTGTTTCTGAACAGCCAGCTAAATCCCAAGAGCAGCCGGCACCGCTCTGACCACACCGAGAGAGGCAAAGAACCAGCCTCCAGCCTGAGCAAGCAGGGGCTCCGAGCGTGTTTCCGTGCTGTGAAACAGTGTCTGCCACCACACTTCCAAGTCCTAACGAAATTAAATGAACAGATCTAGCAGGAGCACAAGGTACTTGTGCTCTACTTGAAATAAACTCCACAAAGTTTCTGTAGGCTTTAGTAACAGCGCAGCTACAAAGCAAACCCAGGCATCGGCTCCCAGCTCCGTGATGTGACAATCCCATCCCAATAAAATTGCAGATCAATCATCTTCTACAATAATGCCATTTTCTACTACAGCAAATTCCCTTCCTGGGCTCCCCTTATAGTGCATGGTTAGTATCAGACATCAGAGACAGAAGAAAATTATAGACCCAAGGAGTTGTAACAAAGACCCACTCGCTGCCAGTACCTTAATCCCAAACGTAAGTGATGTGCAATTGGAGACAAACTAACCCCCCCTTTTTCTTTTTAAAAATCTTTTTGCACACGAGTAACCTTAACTTCTGTGTTCACATATGACAAGCAAAAGTGACAGACAGTGCAGCCAAAACAGTTCATATATAACTTAGCTTTTTCTTTTTTTTTTTTCCTTTTCTTTTTTTAAGATAGATTCTCAAAGATGGATGTACCTGGGACGTGACTAAGATGACATCTGTGAAGCAGAAATAAGCCACAAAACTTCCAAAAAGAGGAAGGAAAGAGAATCGATCCTTCAGTTTCTGCTTCTAAAGGAGAAGGGTTTTACCCTCCGGGTGCAAAGGAAAATCTGGAACATCTTCACTTAGAGAAGCTGCTATTCAAACCAAGTTCTTCCTCACCCTGCAGTAGTGCTTCGATTGGAATTATATTCGATGGGGTTTCAGGGCTTTGGAGGGACAGGAAGTCTGATACATCCATGGCACTTAGCGTTTCAGTCTGCGAGTCTGGAGGGGTAACTACTTGACCGCCCTGCCCACAGGAAGGAGAAGGGGAGGAGGAAGGAAAGGTCTGAGGCTGCAGCTGGGGAGCTGGCTGCTCCAAAGCTTTTGTATCAGGTGAGGAACATTCCTTCTTCACGGTGGCTTTGTCCTTGGCAGAGTCTCGGCAGGCACACTGGCACTGGCAGGCCTCCTCCTGCTTGATGATGATGACAGGGACACTGAGACCAATCTGCTGAACAGCGTTTCCTGAAGGGGAAAACAGAGACAAAACACAACGGAACTACATAATTTCACAGCAGGGAGAGACACATCATCTTTGCTAAATTAGACTGTGTGCACCTCGCAGCACAGATTGCTCCTTACTCTCTTTAAGCACAATACCTCCAGCAGGGGAGAAATAAGAGAAAAGGGGCAGGTGCTCTGCTGCTGAGCAGCCTGTTCAGGCTGAACCCAGGCATTAGAATTCTGATCTAAATCTTTTACACAGCCCAACATGTCTCTTCTGACAACCACTGTAACTTTTACAGCATAAAATCCAACAGAGTGGCATTCAAACACACCCTACACACCCATCTTTGAACGGGTGATACAACACAACACCAGTAATTCCACTCCTGGACACCAACACGGGGAGTTTCCTGTTCATTTTCTCGAGTCTGCTTTCCTCTCCCATCCTGCTTGTCACGCTTCCTCCTCACTCTTCCTATGCTGCTCTACTTGCCTGGCTTCATTTCTTCTGGAAAGTTTAGATTTTTAACTTACCTGATCTCTCTTGACTCTGATTGGTTCATCTTTGCAATAAAACATCACTGTTTTGGAAGCAAGTGATGGAACAGAACTTCTACAGGTGTGTATCAGTTTGATGGATCTCACAGACAGTGCTTACCAAAAATAATTGCTAAAAAACTGATTAAGTTTACTACCTGTTTCACATCTGCACTTAAAAGAACAAAAAAACAAATTATGTCCTTGCATTTCTATCTCTTATTCTTCTAAGTCCCATTAAAATACCATTTCATGAATACTGCATCTGATTTGTGAACCTGATTATCTTATAAGTTGTTAGAGAAACTACTCCAGGACAGATCTCAGCACCAACCTATAAGTCCACAGCAGAATGCACTTAAAAACCTCAGGAAGGTAAAAAAAATAAAGGTTATCTTCAACATTTCTGCAAGCAACAAAATCACCACAAATCCCTGTCAAGCTAACAGAGAAAGAGGAAAAAGCAAGTTCAGTGCCATGCTTACCTGTGTTGCCAGCTACTGGTACTGCAGTGGTAAAAAACACCTTTTCTACTACTTTTGGAACTTGTGGCTTTAAAAAAAAAAATAAAAAAAGTATGAGCTGATTCCATTCAAATTTCTATTGTTCAAATTCTAAATAGCTGCAATCAAAAGAAACAACTAGACACACACATTCCAAAGAGAACACACAGGAAAAAAAAAAGTAATTAAGAAAATATAACATTTAGCTTGGTTCTGGGCAGTGTTCTGGCTACCCCAAAACTCAGAGTATTACTTCAGCAGCCCTAAAGAGCAAGGGTTTTTTCTGCACCCTGGATTTCTCTATTTATTTCTCTCTCTATTTTAGGGGCTGCATTGGTGACACGTTTATAATGCATCCTGGTTCCTATCTTACAATTCCAGGTTTGATGCCCACCCTTTTCAAAAGCAAGGACTCTGGGAGGGAGAGGGATGGTTCAAGCCATTTCCAAGCCTTGCTGGATATACTAACCATTTGTTCTTGGCTTTGTGGAGAACCAGTGGCACCATTTAAGATCCATTGCAAGTTCTGCTCTCCCATGACGATGCTGGACTGCAGAATCGCGGTGCTCTGAGAAGGAGTAATTGTTATAGTGGGATTACTGGTCAGGACCGAGTTTGCACCAACAGGCACAGTCTGAACTACAGCTGGCAGGGGCTCAGTGGCACCAGAGGCTGCTGGGGCAGATGCCCCGGCAACCACCGAAAGTCCTGGTACGATGGGCTGCGGCGGCGTCTGAGTGTGCTGCAGGAAGTCTTGGTGACTGGCTGCAAACTGTGTGCTGTGAGGAACAGGCACTTCTGGGGACTGTAAAACAGTTGCAGGGTTTCCAAACGCAGCTTGCTGTGAGCTGGTTCCTATGGAGGAGGGCGCAGCCGGCGCTGCTGAGGCTTGTAGTGCTGGGTGCGAAGGCTCCGAGATGCCGAGCTGCAGCACGAGTGGGAGAGACAGAGACGCTGAGTCTCCCACAGAAGGCGGAACAGCAGTGACTGAGTCTGCATCCCCGTTAAAACCTTCAATCAAGGCAGCTGCCAAAAGAAACAAAGGAAAAAAAGCACATCAGTTCTCCTAAGATCTGAATAAGCAGCTTTTTCAATGAACTGATGGAACTTTGCTAAGTAAAGCATTTCCCACTTTCACATCGACAAAGATGGTGAGGGGTCTGGAGAAAGCCACCAGCATCCTGGCCTGTGTCAGGAACAGCGTGGGGAGTAGGGCCCGAGAGGTGATTGTCCCCCTGTACTGGGCACTGGTGAGGCCTCACCTTGAGTACTGTGTCCAGTTTTGGGCCCCCTACCATAAAAAAGACATTGAGGTGCTGGAGCGGGTCCAGAGAAGGGCGACAAAGATGGTGAGGGGTCTGGAGAATAAGTCTTATGAGGAGAGGCTGAGGGAGCTGGGGTTATTCAGCCTGGAGAAGAGGAGGCTGAGGGGAGACCTTATTGCTCTCTACAACTCCCTGAAAGGAGGGTGTAGAGAGGTGGGGGTCGGTCTCTTCTCTCAAGTCACAGGCGACAGGACGAGAGGAAATGGCCTCAAGTTGCGCCAGGGGAGGTTCAGGCTGGATATTAGGAAAAATTTTTTCCCTGAAAGGGTTCTCAGCCATTGGAATGGGCTGCCCAGGGAGGTGGTGGAGGCACCATCCCTGGAGGTGTTCAAAAGAGGGGTTGATGTAGTGCTGGGAGGTCTGGTTTAGTGATGATGCTCCTTGTTTGTTGTGTGGGTGTCTATTTTTGTCAGTTAGGTTGACGGTTGGACAAGATGATCTTTAAGGTCCCTTCCAACCTAGAAGATTCTGTGATCTTCTGACTGGCGCTCAAAACCATGTCACACTTGGCAGTGACAGCCAAAAGTAGGTCCAAATTCAGGGAGCAACCCACAAGTTGATCAGCCTCATTAGCTCTCTCTAATTAGCCTTTTCATCAGGGGGTTTGTGCAGAGAGAACTCGTACCTGTCTGCTGAGAGTCATCCTGATTCGCAGTGTGGTCTGGGCTCTGGAACATCGACTCAAAGATACTTGCTGGTGAGATTGTGCTCAGGTCTTGTCCGTGTGTCTGGCAAACAGAAAATAAGGAGGAAGAGATCAGACAATGTTGTATCTTGGGTCTCATAAACTTTGCACAAATTCCAGTCAAGCAGCATACGAATGTTAGAAACACCTCTCCAATTAACCACCACCTTCAGGAAAGGCAATACATTTCACTTACCAAGTGTAAAATGACGGTTTTTATTACCCACAATAAAATCTACCAACATAATGAGCAAATTCTTACAAAATAAGTCCTTCAAAAGTAAAACATATCCTTCTGCATCGATAATTTGCTTAACTCTTATTTCTTGCAATGCTCTGTTAGAATCAGAAACAGACATTAATTTGTTCCTGACAGTTTGTGAAACTTTTTATGGAGCAAAACCAAAATACTGCACTGAAATTATATCCTGGACTATGCAGTACTGTCACCCGCACTGCTGGGAACAGACAGACTGCTTCCACATCCAAGCAGAAAAGAATTACATGTCTTATTAATATATAATTTTCCTCTCCATAAAATTTAACCTCAGGCAACAGTTATCAATAAGCAAGAACATCATTACGGCACAATCAGCTGGAAAGCCTTTAAAAACAGGCTGAATTAAGCACTGCATAATTTGGTGGAAAATCCCTCTCTTTCACTTGGTCTTGCCAGAAAAAAAAGCAACACTCAAATTTTGGGTGAGGCAATTGCAGACAGTAACTCACTGGATTAGAGTTCTCCCGCAATTCTGAATCTGTTGATATGAGGCTTAAGTCACTCAGACAAAGTGAGTGGCTTGTATCCTGTAAAGAAGAAAAAAGAAATTGAGTTATGTATTTAAAAAACAGTGTCAGAAATGTTTTAAGTTACTTTTTAGAGTCCACCCAATTCTGCCTACACAGAACTTTTTTACCGATATGGAACCCAAGCGTCAGTTCTAAAAATCAAAGGAGCAATATTACTAAGCAGAGGACATTTAGTAGCTATCAAGGATTTTTAACATCTCTTCCACATTGCTTCAAAAAGAATTAAATAACGTGGAATTTTAAACTAACACAGGAACAAATCAGCCTATAGAAAATAAAAAATGTAAACCTTAACATTTACATTTACCTTCTATTACTTACATCCCAGCTGCTGCACAGCTGGAACTGCATTCACAGTTCAAACAAGCAGCACCCCGGGGTGTCCTCACGGGAGAGAGGGCACCAAGCAGTTACAATTCCCTTCAAAAGTCCCAGCCTTAAACATTATACCTTTAGAAGAGGTGGCAGACAAGGAATTTCTTCCCCAAAGCATGGTTTCACGTCCACCTCAGACAGAAGCGCCAGGAAGAAGCACTACTCACCTCAGACACGTTGTTATTGGGAAGTGCATTATAGGAATGGCCTTTCTCATGACCTTTCATGTGACTCTTGAGACTATACTGAGTACTGAAAGTCTTATGGATCCCTTTATGTTCCAGCTTGTGCCCGTTGCCCCTCGTCCTGCCACTGGGAAACATTGCTTCAAAAAGAATTAAATAACCTGGAATTTTAAATTAGCACAGGAACAAATCAGCCTATATAAAATAAAAAATGTAAACCTTAACATTTACATTTACCTTACATTACTTACATCCCAGCTGCTGCACAGCTGGAACTGCATTCACAGTTCAAACAAGCAGCACCCCGGGGTGTCCTCACGGGAGAGAGGGCACCAAGCAGTTACAATTCCCTTCAAAAGTCCCAGCCTTAAACATTATACCTTTAGAAGAGGTGGCAGACAAGGAATTTCTTCCCCAAAGCATGGTTTCACGTCCACCTCAGACAGAAGCGCCAGGAAGAAGCACTACTCACCTCAGACACGTTGTTATTGGGAAGTGCATTATAGGAATGGCCTTTCTCATGACCTTTCATGTGACTCTTGAGACTATACTGAGTACTGAAAGTCTTCTCACAGCCGTTACTGGGACAGAAGAAGGGTTTCTCCCCTACAGGGGACTCTTTCTAGTAGTTCCCTGTCCCTCTTGAACTGGGGAGCCCAGAACTACAATTCCCTTCAAAAGTCCCAGCCTTAAACATTATACCTTTAGAACAGGCAGCAGACAAGGAATTTCTTCCCCAAAGCATGGTTTCACGTCCACCTCAGACAGAAGCGCCAGGAAGAAGCACTACTCACCTCAGACACGTTGTTATTGGGAAGTGCATTATAGGAATGGCCTTTCTCATGACCTTTCATGTGACTCTTGAGACTATACTGAGTACTGAAAGTCTTCTCACAGCCGTTACTGGGACAGAAGAAGGGTTTCTCCCCTACAGACAGCAAAAAACACATATAACACCTATTTTTAAAGCCCAGAGGAGAAGGATAATATTTTATATAAACACAACTGTTTAATGCCCCTTCACGCGTTAACCATTCTTGGGAGTCTTGCAGATAAAAGCTTCTATTTTACCACATGAACTGACACAAGAACACAACATTTAATTTTTATGCATCGTTACCGATACATTTATGAAACATGCTCATGAAATTCAAGACCTGTCAGGCATAAATGGAATTTTGGGGATTGCCCTGACCCAGGTACAGGGGTTTGCACTTGGCCTTGTCAAACATCACAAGGTTCGCATGGACACACGCCCCCAGCCCAGCACATCAACTACACCACTCAGCCTGGTGTCACCCACATATTACATCTATTTATAAGTATAAATGCATATTAGGATTCTGAGAGTTAGCAGAAACTGAAAAAATTCAAGTAAAATAAAACTAAGCCCTCGGGACTTACCAGTATGTGTCCTAACATGTGTTTTAAGGTGGTGGCTTGCAGCAAACGCCTTTCCACAGCCGTCATGCTCACACCTGAGTGAGGATCACACAAGAGTTAGCACCAGGCCTCCTCGAGGCACTAGTCACAACCTTAGGTCACACTGTGCAACAGCCACAGGACTCTGAAAAGCTGGCCCAGTGCTGACCTGTGTCAGTCACTGGGTCCCTCCCCACAGCCGCTGCGTGAGCTGCAGACACAGGGCTCTCAACAGGACTTTCATAGAATCATTGAGGTTGGAAGAGACCCTTGGGATCATCAAGTCCAACCATCTACACTACTCTACAGAGTCCTCCCCTACACCATATCCCTCAGGATACCCCTCCCCTATCCCATATCCTTTCAATTCAAACATGAAGTCAACATTTCACAGAATCACAGAATCTTAGTGGTTGGAAGGGACCTCCGAGATCATCGAGTCCAACCACAAAACAACAACAACAACAACAAAAAAACCCCAAAAAAACCACACCAAAAAAACACACACAAAAAACCCCAAAACACCCAACCCAACAATCTTGGGCACCAGAGCATGCCCTGAAGAGCCACATCTACACGTTTCTGAAATCCCTCCAGGGATGGTGACTCCACCACCTCCCTGGGCAGGCTGTTCCAGGGCCTGACCACCCTCTCAGGAAAGT